ATGTGTGTCAGAACAGAACTGTGTGCCACAGGGTTTTCAGTGGCTGATTTTTTTGGAAGTAGATAGCCAGGCCTTTCTTTCAAGGCACCTCTGAGTGGACTCAAAACTCCAGCCTTTCAATTAGCAGCCAAGTGGGTTAGCCTTTTGCACCACCCAGGGATTTTACATAGTGCTTAAAACTGTAAAAGCATTTGCTATTATTGTTATTCCTGAGGGAAGTGCTATTTGTAAGATAAGCAATTCGCCCAAATAAAGGAAAGATGTTCTTCTGAAGGGGGCCCAAAAGAATAACAAATATCCACTGCACCTTATTTAGGCCTGAGAGTATAATCAATATGAATTACTTTACTCGTTCGCTCATTCATTGAATAAAAATGTCATTGTCCTTGAGACTCAGGGTGCAGATAATGCCTTATCTTTGTATTTGTATAAATCAAATTAAATACAGCTAGGGCCCCCAACCCATCAAAACTAGTAGAAAGTACAATATCAACCTTAGTATTAAACAAACCAAAACAACTGCCACCGAGTCAATCCAGACTCATAGCAAGCCCACAGTTTCCAAGGCTGTAAATCTCTGCGGGGGCAGACTGCCACATCTTTGTCCCTCAAACCACTAACCTTTCAGTTAGCCGTCGATTGCTTTAACCTTTGTACCACCAGGGCTCCTTTAGTATTAAACAAGAACCCCAGAAAGTTGTCAGTGTGGTCGTAGCTGTGGCAGTGAGGGTCCCCACGCCTATGGAGACTGCTTGGTGGGGTGAATCTTCCTGGGCATTTCACCCCCTTAGCAACGGGTTTAGTCAGGAGGCCTTCACAGAACGCTGGCTGCAAAGTCCTGGTCTTTGGTGTTCGGGGTTCAATGCTCAGAGACAAGCAGGCCTTCTGAGGGCCTGGCTCCCCAAAGCTCTCACAGCTACATGGCCCACACCCCAGGCCACACTCTTGGAACGTGCACCAGTGACCACTTCCTGTCTACAACCTTTCTACACACCACTTCCTGGCAGTGGGTGTGGGTGTGAGGGACGAGGCAGAAGGGAGTAGTTGCTGTCTAGTTGACTGTGACTCTGGGTAACCCCACGAGTGTCAGAGTAGAACTGTGCTCATCAGGGTTTTGGGTTTTTTTTTCAATATATTTTTTGTTGTTCAGAATATACACAGCAAAACATATACCAGTTCAAGAGTTTGTACGTGTACAATTCAGTGACATTGATTACATTCTTTGAGTTGTACAATCGTTTTCACCAGCCTTTTCTGAGTTGTTCCTCCTTCATTAACTCACTGCCCCCTAAGGATCCTGTCTAATCTTTTGAGTTGCTATTTTCAATTTGATCCCATATAGATAGTTCTTGGAGCCCTGGTGGCGCAGTGATTAAGAGCTCAGCTGCTATCCAATATGTGGACAGTTCAAGTCCACCAGCCATTCCTTGGAAACGCTATGGGGCAGTTTTACTCTGTCCTACAGGGTCACTATGAGTCAGAATTGACTCGATAGCAATGGGTAGATAGTTCTTAAAAGAGCATAATGCTCAAGGCAGAACTTTTTCACTAGTTAAGTGAAACTATTTCTCAGTTTTGAGATGACTTCAGGGGATATTTTTGGTTTATGGTTTAAAGGTTATCTCAGGGCCATAGTTTCAGGGGTTCATCTACCCTCAATGGCTCCAGAAAGTCTAGCGTCCATGAGAATTTGAAATTCTGTTCTGCATTTTCCCCTTTTGATCAGGATTCTTTTATGGTGTCTTTGATCAAAATATTCAGTAATGGTAGCTAGGCACCAGCCAGTTCTTCTGGTCTCATGACAAAGGAGGCAGTTGTTCATGGAGGCAATTAGCCACACATTCCATATCCTCCTCCAACTCCTGACTCTCCTTCTTCCTCTGTTGCTCCAGGTGAATAGAGACCAATTGTTGTGCCTTGGATGGCTGCTGGCAAGCTTTTAAGACTCCAGACACTGTGCAATGAACTAGGAGGTGGAACAGACGCACTGTACTGAGACGTCCCAAGAAACCATGACCCTAAACCTCCCAGCCAAGGAACCAAATCCCATGAAGTGTTTGGTTGCACCTAAGCAGCCTCAGCAGCTACTCTTTTTACTTTTTTTGGTCATTGTTGTAAATATATCTGTCACACAACTTTTGCCAATTCAAGTTTTTACAGGTGTACAACTTATTGACAGCAATTACAATAATCAGCTGTGTGACCATACCCTTAACGCAATTTTTCCATCACCGTTAGCCCCTCTTTTCCCCCCTCCCTCCTGCCCCTGGTAACCACTAATAAATTTTGTTCTCTATACATTTGCCTTTTCTTATCTTTTCATATGAGAGAGGTCATATGATATTTGTCCTTTTGTGACTGGTTTATTTCTCTCAGCATAATGTTTTCCAAGTTCCATCCATACTGTAGCATGTATCAAGACTTCACTTCTCCTGCTGAGTAGTATGCATGTACCACATTTTGTGTATCCATTCATCTCTTGATGAACATTCAGGTTGTTTTCACCTTTTGGCTGTTGTGAATGGCTGTCATTATTTTTTTGCCTTTCTAATAGGTGTGTAGCGATATCTCATTGTGGTTTTAATTTGCATTTCCCTAGTGGCTAATGATGTCCAACATCTTTTCATATGCTTATCCGCCGTCTTTAGTGAAATATCTCTTCAGTGAAACGTCTCTTCATATCTTTTGCCCATTATCTAATTGGATTGTTTGGGTTTTTTATTGATGAGTTTCTGAGAGTTCTTTATATATTCTAGATACTAGTCCTTTGTTAGAGATGTGGTTTGCGAATATTTTCTCTCATTCAATAGCTTGTCTTTGCATCCTCTTAACAGGGTCTTACTCAGAGCAAAAGTTTTTAATTTTGATGAAGTGCAATTTATCAATTTTTCCTTTTATGGATCATGCCTTTGGTGTCAAGTCTAAGAACTTTTTACATAGCTCAGATTCCAAAATGTTCGATTTTTTTTTCTAAAAGTTTTATGGTTTTACATTTTTTCATTTAATTCCATGAACTATTCTGAGTTAAGTTTTGTATAAGGTGTGAGACTTAGATCAAGGTTCACTTTTTGCCTATCGATGTCTAGTGGTTTACTTTTCTTCCACCTGATCCGTGTGACTCCCAGTCCTGAGTCAGCTCTTGGCTTTGACCCCCTACATGGTTCTGTTTCTGTTCCATTTCTGATCCAAGGAGAAGTACAGAGGAGTGTATAAAACATACCTATACAGTTTAAGGAATGATAAAGTGAGCGCTCATTGTAACCACCACTGGCTATGTCTTTTACATCTTTTCTCTTTGTATTTTCTCTCTCATTGCCATGTGCTTGGAGTGAGGGCCCTCATGGTGGCACCCTCCAACGCCATCTTGACAGAGTGCACCTCTGCACTCTAACTATGGGTGGTGGCCCAGGGACCTCTGATCTCTTGGGGTCTTGGGCTCTGTGAGTAGCCCCAGCACTTTATACTCCTTTAGCTTCAGTATCTTCTGACTGGGTGTGTTTACCTTTATTGCCTTTTCCTCCAATTAGATAATTATCAGCTCAGGATTTTTGCAGTGTTTTCTCTTGACAACAGCTTATTAAGTCTGAGAAATCTCTCTCTACATTTCATCTGTGAGGAAAGACAGGGTCATTTTATACACTGGGCATATTGCTCCAATGCCTAAGGCCCACCAGCCCTTAAAAAATCTTTTGAGGACTTAAAATATATGTATTATTATTAATGTAAATACAAAATATAAAAAGAAAATTGCAAAGTTGGAATTGACAAATGTTTAATATCTTCAAAATTAACATTATGGCAACTTAATTGTTTAAAAATTAGGATTACTGTATATACTGTATATGTTTTATATTTTGTAGCAATTTATGTTTAAACCTGTTGCCATTGAGTTAACGACCCTATAGAACAGAGAAGGACTGCCCCATGGGGATTCCAAGGAGCAGCTGGTGGATTCGAACTGCTCACCTTTTGGTTAGCAGCTGAGCTCTTAACCACTGCACCACCAGGGCTCCAATTTAAGGTTAGAGTTCTTATTTTACAAGAATCTGTGATCATCTGTAGACGCTAAGAAATTAGAGCTAACTGTGAATTATAAATTACTTATGCATTAAAAAAATTTAAAAGCAAAATTTTAAAAATTACAGCAAAAAAATGGAAACCCAAACTCATTGCTGACTCATAGGGGCCCTACAGGGCAGAGTGGAACTGCCTCACAGGGTTTCCAAGGCTGTGGAAGCAGACTGCCACATCTTTCTCCCTCCAAGTGGCTGGGGAGTTCCAACTGCTGACCTTTCAGTTAGCAGCCAAGCGCTTGGCTACTGCGCCACCAGGGCTCCTTGCAAATACGTGTGTGTGTATATATATATATACACACATGTATGTATATACATGTATGTATATACATACGTGTATATAGCCTGGACATAACTTATGTTTGATGTGGTGTATAGCTGGACCTACCGAAGTAAGAGATTTTAGAAGGACCTCAGGGAAATGGAAGGAGCTGAAATGAGACATAAAGAATGGAGAGATGGCAAGAGATATAAAAGAAGAACATTCTGAGAGGAAATGAGATGCCTGCTGAGCGTCTGCTGCGTGCCGCTCTCTAGGAACTGAAAATCCAAAACTGAAAGTCACTACTCTCAGGGAGGTCACAGTGTGGTGATAAATCTGACACGTTAAATGATACAATGTGTTAACTGTACTGTAATTAAGGAGGTGTGCACACTGAGGGGCAAGAGGGTGCGGCTAGAACTGCCGTCGAGGGCGGGGACTAGGAAGACTTCTCAGAGGAGATCACACTTCTTGATCTGCCGGGAGACAGAGAAAGAAGGAAGGAGAGAAAGACGAAGAAATACCAAGAATGAGACAAGAAAACGAAAAAGGAAGGGCTCGATGCGATCGGCGCTCCAGCCTTCGGGCCTCGACTGCTAAGGTCTGGGCGCGGTCACCGCCCCTCCCCCCGCACGACGCCGCCGGCTGGGCCTCAGCGAGCTCCGCCGCGGCTGGCTGCCCACGGACGCCATGTACCGGGTCCGGTCCTCCGTGACGGCGCGGGCCGCGAACCTCGGGGGCTGGGCCTGGGGCTGCGGGCGGCGTGGAGTCCACCAGCGCGCCAGGCTGCCGCCGCTCGGCCACGGCTGGGTCGGAGGCCTCGGGGAGGGGAAGGGGCTGGAGCTCGGGGTGAAGCTGGCGGGCGGGCTGAGGGGCGCGGCCCCCGCACCGCCTCCCGCAGCCCCCGACCCCGAGGCGTCGCCTCAGGCCGAGGCACCGCGGCAGCCCGAGCAGTCCCTCGCCCCGTGGGCTCCGCAGACCCCGACGCCGCCCCTCTCCAAGCGCTTCGCCAAGGCCATCAAGAACAGCCGCGACCTGCTGCACAGGATCAAGGTGCGGGCGCCGGGCGTGGGCGGCCGGGGGTCCCGAGCCCCTTCCCTGATCCGTCGCCCCCGGCGTCACCCGGGGATAGGACCTTCCGTGCGCATCCCCGAGGCATAGCGGACCCCACCCTGGGCTTCCGAAAAAGACTTCCCGTTTCCCTACCGCCTGGCCAAGCTCCGATGTTCCCGGGGGTTGCCCAAGTCAGGCGGATATCACCGCCCGCCTCGGGGACCGCCCCCTCTCCTCCCCAACCCCTGCTGTCCGGGCTCACCCCTCGTGGTTAGCGACCAGGCGATACCTGAGCCGCGGTGGGCGGGGCAAGGGCGGGGCCGAGCCAGGGAGGCGGGGCCCGGGGAAAGCATTGGCAGATGCTATCCAGCCCATCTTTGAATTGTGTATTCTTTTAACCTTTGCTCATAGGATGAGGTCGGCGCACCGGGCATAGTGGTTGGAGTTTCTGTGGATGGAAAAGAAGTCTGGTCAGAAGGTGGGCTCTGAAAAGTGTTGATTTAGTGGCTTGTTTTATGTCAATTGGTTAATGAAATCTTGATGTTTTATTAGGAATGAATCCCATGAAATGCTATTTGGTTTAGGTAAAATCATACAGTATTGTAGAGAAAACATATCCAACAGAGTAAAGAATTGGGTTTTCTATAACAAGATTTAAAATGTGATTAATGAATAAATTGGAGTCTTAAAGATGGCTTGTTTCTACTCCAGTTTTCTATTAGGACTGGATTTATTGGTCCAAAAGCTGTATATAGAATAGTCTGCTAACTGCTAATTTGTAGGTAACCCTCATGGGTAGATAAGGTGTAAGGATTTCTGTACTTTCCTTTTTTCATTTAGTCAACAATTTATTGAGTCACTATTCTGTACTAAGGACTCAGGTGTGCCTGATCCAAGCCGTGGTGTTTTCAGTTGCCTCATGTGCATGCAAGAGCTGGACAATGAATAAGGAAGACTGAAGAAGACTTGATGCCTGTGAATTATGGTGTTGGTGAAGACTGTTGAATATACCTTGGACTGCCAGAAGAAGGAACAGATCTGTCTTAGAAGAGGTACAGCCAGAATGCTCCTTGGAAGTGAGGATGGCAAGACTTTGTCTCATGCACTTTGGACATGTTATCAGGAGGGACCAATCTCTGGAGAAGGACATCATGCTTGGTAAAGAAGAGGGTCAACAAAAGAAAGAAAGATCGTCAACAAGATGAATTGACACAGTAGCTGCAACAGTGGGCTCAGATGTAACAATGATTGTGAGGATGGCACAAGACCAGGTAGTGTTTTGTTCTGTTGTACATAGGGTTGCTGTGCGTCAGAACCAGCTCGACGGCACCTAACCACAACAATGGCTATGATATCGATCTTTAAACGTTCCATTTCATTTTTGACGACTTTCAGTTTTCTTTGATTCATATGTTCTGCATTTCACATTCTGATTACTAATGGATGTTTGCAGCTGTTACTTCTCATTTTGAGTCATGTCACATCAGCAAATGGAGATCCCAAAGGCTTTACTCTATCTACGTCATTAAGGTTGACTCTGCTTTGAAGACGCAGTTTGTCAAATCTGTTCTTGAGATGGTCTCTAAATTCAAGTGGGGTATACTCAAAGTCATATTTTTGCTCTCGTGAACTTGCTCTAATTTTCTTCAGTTTCAGCTTGTATATGAGCAATCGATGGTCTGTTCCGCGTTCAGCCACTGGGTGAATCGTCTCTTTCCACAGATGTAGTCGATTTGATTCTTGAGTATTCCGTCTGGCGAGGTCCACGTATATAGTTGCCGTTTATGTTGTTGAAGAAAAGTATTTCCAATGACTAGGTCGTTGACTTTGCAAAATTCTATCAAGCACAGAGTAGCTAAAACAAATGGGAGAAACGATGAAGTAAAAGAGCTGAACAGAAGATTTCAAAGGGCATCTTGAGAAGTCAAGATTAAATATTATGATGAAATGTGCAAAGACCTGGAGTTAGAAAACCAGAAGGGAAGAGCACGATTGGCATTTCTCAAGCTGAAAGAATGAAATAGAAAATTCAAGGCTGGGAATTGCAATACCAAAGAAGTCTATAGGTAAAACATTGAGATGCTTCACCAAACAGATGCAGTGCTGGAAGCACTCAAGAAGTTTGGAAGACAGCTACCTGGTCAACCTACTGGAAGAGATCCTTATTGGCGCCCATTCCAAAGAAAGGCAATCAAACGAAATTCAGAAATTATCTAACAATATCATTAATATTATATGTTAGCAAAATTTTCCTAAAAATAATTCAAACAAGACTTTAACCATGCATTGACAGGAAACTACTAGAAGTTCAAGCTGAATTCAGAAGGGGATGTGGAATGAGAGATATCGTTTCTGATATCAAATGGATCTTGGCAGAAGGTAGAGAATACCAGAAAGATGTTTACCTGTGTTTTATTGAGTACGGAAAGGCATTTGACTATTTGGATCATAACAAATTATGGATAACATTAAAAAGAATGGAAATCTCAGAACACTTAGTTGTGTTCATGTGGAACCTGTGCGGTTGCTTGAACGAGTAAGGGGATACTCTGTGGTTCAGAATTGGAAAAGGTGTGTGGCAGGGTTGTATCCTTTCACTCTACTTAGTCAATCTGTACGCTGAACGAATAATCCAAGAAGCTGGACTATGTGAGAAGAACATGGCATCAGGATTGGAGGAAGACTCATTAACAACCTACGATATGTAGATGATACAGCCTTGCTTGCTGTATCAGTATGGATTACATCTGAACATAAAGAAAATAAAAATCCTCACAGCTGGACCAATAAGCAACATCATGATGAATGGCAAAGAAGTTGAATTTGTCAAGGTGATCATTCTACTGGGATCCACAATCAACACCCGTGGAAGCAGCAGTCAAGAAATCAAACAATGTATTGCATTGGGAAAATCTGATGCAAAAGACCTCTTTAAAGTATTAAAAAGCAAAGTTGTCACTTTGATGACTAAGGTGCCCCTGACCCAAGCCATGGTCTTTTCAGTTGCCTCACGTGTATGTGAAAGCTGGACAATGAAAAAAGATCAAAAGGCAATTGACGCATTTTAATTGTGGTATTGGCAAAGAGTATCGAATATCCCATGGACTGTCAAAAGAACAAACGAATCAGTCCTGGAGGAAGTACAACCAGAATGTTCCTTAGAAGCGAAGATGGCAAGACTTCGACTCCCTTACTTTGGACACATCATGAGGAAAGAACAGTTGCTAGAAAAGTACATCATATTTGATAAAGTGGAGGGTCAGTGAAAAGGAGGGAAACCTTCCGTGAGATGGACTGACATGGTGGTTGCAACAGTGGGCTCAAACGTACCCAGTGATCAGGAAGATGGTGCAGGACCAGGCAAAGGTTTTTTTCTGTTATGCGTGAAGTTACCATGAGCCAGAGCTGAGTCGACGGCAACTAACAGCAACAACTTTTAGGAAATGATATTGCAGACGTTATTTAAAGAAAATAGTAGTTTTAGGAATCATTGACGGGAACAGCAGGGTTTGATTTTAAAGAAACACGATTCTTCCCCCAAGTGTAAGTATAACCTAATCAATATGCCTAGTTTGTAGTAAAAAAAAATTATGTAAATGTCAGCTTCTTTTTCGGTGAGGATTTTGTTTTTATGCAGATATTTTTCTGCTTAATCCACACTTAGAGTTTAAAAACAGATCCCAGTTGTTTATCACTCTTTCTTTTCAGATCCCAGTTCTTTATAAATCTTAGATTTCCGTATTTTCAGTCTGTCTAGAAGATGTAAACCAAACTTTAAAATTTTTCTAGGAAGCCTTAAATTGGTCGTGTACCATACCAAACCAAAACCAAACCCGTTGCGGTCGAGTCAGTTCTGACTCACAGCGACCCTGTAGGTACATAGTTTTTGTTCTGGTTTGTAGCTGAATTAAATTACTACATTGGGTTTGCAGATTTGTTCACATTCATTTGAATTGGATTGCTATTTTAAGGAATTCATTGGAAAGGCAAAAAGTCAACAATATCTGAATAAGAACAATGATGTTTTCTCTAAAGAATGTGAATTAATTTATTTAAAATGTAGAATGACTAAATTGTTTAGATAAGCTCAGAAAAATTAGTATTTGAATCAGATGGAAAATTACCATGACCCAAGGGTACAATTTTAGTTTAGTTACAAGGTGAAATTGTCATCAGTTTTTCTAAGACTCTCATCCCTTACATACGCAGTTTTGGTTAACTTACAAAAGTAGAATATCTTCCTTAGATTGCTACATAGGATGTTTTAAGATAGTATTATCTCAGTTTTTGAAAACTCCTTTGACCATGAGCCTGTTAATAGTGACTTTTTGCTTTCTTCCCCCCAAAGGTTTAGGTTACGCTGATGTTGAGAACCGTGTACCATGTAAACCAGAGACGGTTATGAGAATTGCCAGCATCAGCAAAAGTCTCACCATGGTTGCTCTTGCCAAATTGTGGGAAGCAGGAAAACTGGATCTTGATATTCCAGTACAATATTATGTTCCTGAGTTTCCAGAAAAGGAATATGAAGGTGAAAAGGTAGTGAAACTCAGAGTTTATTTTATTAATGGCAACTTAAATAGTTTATGCTAGAATTTATATTCAAAATGTTTCATAGGATTTTTTGGATATTTTTAACTCTTTTTAATGGGTTAGATTGTTTCTGGTTTTGTATTTTTAATCTAGATAGTAGCCAGATGGGTATTTTTCTGCAGTTTAGGCTAAAAAGCTGTACAAGATATATTTTTCCAGCTGCAGTTCAAAATGGAAAAGATCACTGAGGCAGTGTGCAAAGGCTATTGACTTTTTGTTGTACAGCTTAATATTGTAATTTAATTTTTGTGTTTTTACAATTAGGTTTCTGTCACAACAAGATTACTGATTTCCCATTTAAGTGGAATTCGTCACTATGAAAAAGACATGAAAAAGGTGAAAGAGGAGAAAGCTTATAAAGCCTTGAAGATGATGAAAGAGACAATGGAATTCGACCAAGAGAAACAGTTGAGAGAGAAAGGAGGCAAAAGTAATGAAAAGAATGACTTCGCTAAAGCTCAGATAGAGCAGGATAATGAAGCCAAAGGCCGGAATTCAAAGCCTGGCAAGAAAAAGAATGATTTTGAACAAGGCGAATTATATTTGAAAGAAAAGTTTGAAAATTCAATTGAATCCTTAAGATTATTTAAAAATGATCCTTTGTTCTTTAAACCTGGTGAGTGTTAATTTCTTCTCTTAACAAAGTTGTCATTATTGAAGTATTAATTTTCACTAAATCCAGAAGATAGATGAGGTTGATGATTGTGACTTGGGTTTGATTGCCAGTCCAACGCTTGTCTTGCAGTTCTAACAAAGCCTCAGTTATTTAGATTTAGCCTCATTTAAGACTACCCAGGCATTTAGCTGGTTCTCAGTATCAAGACGTTCATGGAAAAATTATGGAGAAATATTGGAGTAATCGTCCTCCAAATAAAACCTAGACCAAAGTGGACATGATAAAGTATTGCTAATATTTTAGTGTTTAGTTAGAACTTACATCGCTCAACTTATTTTGTGCCTTTTTAAAGAAATCAGTGTTCATCAGCTTTGTTTTATTTCCCAAAAAGCTAATCTACAGAAATAATTAACTTTGTTTTTGTGTGTGTGTACATATGTATATAGGTATAGTGCATACTGAAAACACTTGGTATACAATAGGTTAATGTACTTTTATTCCATTTTCATTTTTTAAAACTTGTTTTTTTACCATGAATGGATATGACATAGGGATAATTAACAAAGGCAAATAAAATGTAAGCATGGACTTTGCCTTAAAAAGTAAGGTTCCCACCCGTTTTTAGTACAGATAATACATTCTAAAGTTTCTAGAGTACAAAATGATTTAAAAGTATGTATTTGAAACAATATATGTATTTCAATATGTATTTGAAACAAGGTTTTTATGTATTTTATTAAAATAAGAACTAATACACCTATTCATGCCTTAAACAACAGTTAGTAGGTATATTAAGAACAAAATAGTTGACTCAAGAAATTAAATTTGCTTTTCTTCACCTTCCTGTTTTGTTGCCAGTTTGAAAGATTTTGTTTTATTTTGAGGTAGGATTTATTTGCTTATTTCATAATCATAAAAGAGGCAGACCACATGAAATTTTAAAATACTGATCATTATTTTATTACCTTTGTGTCAGGGACATGGAATAGGCAGGGCCATTGCAAAGTTGACAAAATCTGTTGCTATATTATCCATGACCTTTTTTCTAAATGCTGAATTAAAATATTCTAATTTTAAAGGTATGACAGTTTTCTGTGGGAAAATATTTCACATATTTTTAAATAATAATCAAGCATTTTCTTTTTTTTCCCCCCTTTGCAATGATGTCTCAAGGTAGTCAGTTTTTGTATTCAACTTTTGGGTATACCCTACTGGCAGCCATAGTAGAAAGAGCTTCAGGATGTAAATATTTGGACTATATGCAGAAAATATTCCATGACTTGGATATGCTGACAACTGTGCAGGAAGAGAATGAGCCAGTGATTTACAATAGAGCAAGGTAAATGAATACCTTCTGGTGTGTCTAATTTGACTGGTCTCCGTTCCAAAATCAACTGGACACATTTGGGAGCAAATATGTCTATTTTTCTATATGTCTATTTTTCCATCTATAAAGTGAGGGAAATAAAATGTGTTTATAAAGTACCCCGAGCTCCTTAAGTGAAAGACAGCAATGATAATTCTAGCACACAAATAATTAAACCAAAATTACACCCATTGTGGGCATCTCTAATTTGTTCTTCTGTCAACCTTTTTCTTTTATCGTTTAGTTACTGCTTTGTCTACCTTTTATTATTTTCTGTTGTTTTAACTATTATTATGAAGTAATTTTAGGCTTATGGAAAAGTTGCAAGAATGATGCAAAGAATCTCTGTATATCCTTCAACCAAATTTCCCAAATGCTATCATTTTATCACATTTGCTTTATCTATGTTCTTTTTTTCCTAAACCATTTGGAAATAAGTTGTAGACAGGGTACCCTTTTGCCCCTAAAGGTTTAAAAGTGTATTTTCTGTAAACAAGGACTTTTAGGAAATTAACATTGATACAATGTTTTTATTAAATTTATAGACGTTATTCATATTTTGCCAATTGTCCAAATAATGTCTTTTCTCAAGAGAAGAAAACAAAATTTTATTCTGGTCCAGGTTCCAGTCCAGGATCACACATTGCGTTTAGTTGTCATGTCTCTTTCGTAGCCTTTAATCAGGAGCAGTTCCTCAGTCTTTCTTTCCTTTCTTTGTCTTTTATGGTGTTGATATTTTTGAAGAGTATTGGCCATTTATTTTGTAGAATGTCCTTTAATTTAGGTTTGGTGTTTGCTCGTGTTTAGATTCAGGCTAGGAGTTTTGGCAGGAGTACCAAAGAAGTGATGATGTATCCTTCTCAGTCGATCATAACAGGAGACACGTGATGTCAGTTTGTCCCATTATTGGTGATGGTAATTTTGATGCTTTGTTGAGGTGGTGCCTGCCTGGTTTCTCCACTATAAAGTTACTGTTTTTCCCTTGTAATTAACAGGTATATTATGGAGAAATACTTTGGGACTATGTAAAATCCTGTTTCTCATCAAACTCTCACCTACTGGTGATGGTGTACAAATGGTGATTTTCTAATTTCATCATTCATTCTATATTTATGAGCTGATGTTCTATTATAGGAAAGTGCTTTCCCTTCCCCCTTATTTATGAATGTATTTATCCATATCACTGTGCACTCATGGCTTCTTATTTTATTCAATGAGTTATATAGCCTGTTACTGTCATTATGTAATACCTTGTTTTAAAAATATTAAGTATATAAAATATCAAGAGGTAAAACTATTTATAAGGGTAAATAGCTATTAAGTTGCTTAGCTGTATGTTTATACTTTTAACCAAAGAGCTTTATGTTTCATTTTGTGTGAGTTAACAGTGAACAGTAAAATGCTCTTCTGATTTGGATTATGTAGACGCCCTGCTACATGCCGTTAGATTTTTAGTATATCATAAAAATACTGTCTAAGCACCGTCTAACTAAAATGATTGAGCATTTTAAAAATCTGGCTTAAAAAGACTTTTATAGTTTGGCATCCTTTAGTATGTTTACTCAGGCACTTTTTAGTTGTAGGGATTAAGATTTGAAATATTTAAACCATGGTTTCTCCTAGTTTTCTTTTACAGCTTTTAAATATAAAATATCAAACTGGAGTTACTTTATGAAATTTGGTTTAGTATACAAAGAAAATTCTAGGCAAATTGCTCAGGTTGTAGTATAATTTATGGAGAGGCTTCTGAACACTGACTTTGATAAAGTAACTAGAATTTTTATCCTTAGGAGGGGTAAATGCTATGATTTTAGATAATTCCATGATTTAATTCATTTACTGCTATTATAGAAAAAGGTTCAGTTGGCTTTTTAGCTTTTTAATACTTTAAAATTTAGCTATGCTTTGTGTTATGGAGGGGTTTTCTGTGATTTATAGTTCAGATTCCTTGTGTGACCTGGTATACTTCAAAATCACACGGAAGCATGTGATAACTGCCTTTTAAAACTCGTTTTATAAATATTTGAGCTTATTTGGTAGAGAAAATTTTGAGACCTTTCAGAAAATGAAAAAAATTAAGTTGAACAGTATTAACAAATGCAATAAAGATTCATTTTTTTAAAAGTAATTTGGAGTTTTATTATTAGAGAGAAAAAAATTGAAAAGCAAATGCTTGGAAACTTTTCAAAAAGCTTTAATCCAGAAAGAGCAAAGACAGACAGGAAAGGGCACTTACCAGGCCAAATGTTAGGGAGGCAAGAAGGTTAGAAAATGACCCGTTCAATTATCTCTTGATTAGTTGTGGTTAAAATTACTCAGTCTGTTGAGTATTTTTGTTCTTTACTGGTTTTTTTCTTTTTACTTCTTCATTTTCCCTAGTATAGTGGTTTTCAAATTGCAGGTTATGGCCAATTAGTGAGATGGAAAATCAATTTAATGAGTCGAGTACCAGCATTTCTTCCTTTAATGGAATAGAGTATAATAGAAAACAGCTGCTCATGTGTGTTGCAGAACTTAGCCATGTGGGCACACTTAACTGCAAAGGAAGCTGGGAAATGTAGTTTCTAGCTGAGCAGACATATGCATTGCTATAATTCTATTACTTAGGAGGAAGAGAAGAATGGATTTTGTGGACAACCAGCCATCTCTGCTGCTGTTTATTTTATAAAACTTCTGTTCCAGAGGGGTGTGTGTGTGTGTATGTACGTACGTGTGTACTCAGTCAAAATGAAAAATGTATTCCTTACTGTGGGTTGAGACTTAAAAAGTTTGAAAACCATTTCAATGAAATAATATCAAGGGTCATAATTTTTACTAGTACTTTGTAAAGAGTGCATTGGGAGAGAATTTTGAAGCTAATGACTAAATTTTACGGTTGTGCTTTCTTTTCCATTCTACTTTTACTTATTATTGTTTGGATTGTTGATGGAAAGGTTGCACATTTCATAAATCAGCTGTTACTTTAACCTTGCATATTTCTGTTAGTACATACTTTACAAATGGTTTAAAGGCACTTTCTAAAGAAATAACAATGAAATGATTTTTTTTTTTTAATTATCAGCTTATTTAAAAGGATTAAATGTGCATTGCAAATCAGTCTATGTCTTGAAAGAGATTTTTTGGACCCAAAAGAAATTAGGTTAGCAGCAAGCAATATATTTTAATTTTTAAGTGGCCTGTCCTTCTCAACCACTTCAGACTCCTAATGTTTATTTTTAGGTCCAACTTTATATTCTACTGGGAAGCATAAGAAAAATTGACAAATACCAGAAGTAGTCAGTTAAATATTTAAAAAAAATTCTTTAGTAAAGATGGCAAGATGCATGAGTTTATTTTGGTGCAAATCTGGGCATTTGATAATGAATGCCAACTATGAGCCAGAATTGAATGGATGGCACGCAACAACATCTATATGGAGGGGGAGAAGGGCATTTTATCTCCCATTCTCTGCCAAAATGCAGTGGGTTTCCATTTCTAGTGTTAGTTTCCTATCAGCTCTGGCTTTTTTTAGTAGTACCCAGTGGCTCTGATGGGATAGTTGATTCGTTTTTGTTAGGTTACATGGGCTGCTGAAGTAAAATAGGCCACTAAATGGAAAAAGAAATACTGTTACCTAGGAAAGTGTTCTGTCCATTTGCTTTGTTTTTTTTCACTTGGCACAGTACCTGTTTGGGCCTCTAAAGCTCAACTCTGATTCTTCTTTTATAATTTTTTTTTTTTTTAAAGAGTGTAAAGGCACCAGTTTTTTAGGGAGTCCAGGGAGTACAAGGAATCTTTTCAATGATACCTGCAAAAACCTTAAAAGTAAAACTTAGTCAATGCATGTTTCTATTCACTTGTTTCATAGTACCATTTTGCAGGAAATAAAATGTTTACAACTTTGTTATTTACTCTACTGACTCCTTGGGCATAATCATAAATTAAGTCTGTTTATAACATCCTGACCAAGAATTTTTAGAGTTAATTATATCCCAAGAGTAAATATTTATGTTCTTTATCGTTTCTCTGTGTGTATATGCTTGTTTTTTAAATGTTGCCTTCCAGTATCTTATTCACTTGTTTAAAGTATTTCCCCAGAATCCCACCCTGAAATACGATTACATTTGTTAGGCCAGAATATAGTCACAAGGTCACACTTAGCTGTAAGGGAGATGGTAGGAAAATTAGTTTTAGCTGAGTACATTGTTGTCTTGAATAAAATTGTGGTTTTCTTAAATGCAAGGATAGGAACATTGATTCTGTGTAGGCAAGTAGCAGTCTCTGCACGTGAACTAAATAACCCTTTAGGCGAACAGTCTACAAAGGCGTGGAGTGAATGTTCTTGCCATTGAAAGACACTCAGTTTGTTTCTAGAAATTTGTCCATTTCCTCTGTGTTTCCAAATTTGTTAGAGTACAATTTTTCATAGTATTATATTACAATTCTTTTAATTTCAGTTGGGTCTGTTGTGATATCACACATCTCATTTCTTATACAGGTTATTTGCTTCCTCTCCTGTTTTTCTTTTGTCAGTTTGGCCAGTAGTTTATCAGTTTTGCTGATCTTTTCAAAGAACCGCTTTTGGTCTTGTTGACTCTTTCAATTGTTTTTCTATTCTCTATTTCATTTAATTCTGCTCTAATTCTTATTATTTCCTTTCTTCTGGCACCTGAGGGCTTCTTTTGCTGCTCTCTTTCTACTTGTTTGAGTTGTAGGGTTAATGTTTTGATTTTGTCCCTTTCTTCTTATTGCTATGAACTGACCTCTGAGAACTGCTTTTGCTGTGTCCCAAAGGTTCTGGTAGGACATGTTTTTGTTCTCATTTGATTCTATGAATTTCTTTATTCCATCCTTAATTTCTTCTGTAACCCAGCAGTTTCTGAGCAAGGTGTTGTTCAGTTTCCATGTGTTTGATTTTTTTTCCTTGCTTTTTCTGTTATTGATTTCTACTTTTATGGCTTTACGGTCAGAAAAAATGCTTTGTAATATTTTGA